TTCTCTCTCTCTCTCTCCCTTCCTCTCTCTCCCTCCCACTCTATCTGTACAAAAAATGGAAAAATATCCTCGGGTGAGGATAAAAAATAATAATAATAAGTCCGCCTGCGGTCTGGAGAGACCCGGGTTCGGTTCCCGCTAAGGGCATGTACCTCGGTTGCAGTTTGTTCCCGGCCCTGGTTGGTCGTGCGGGTGGCAGCCACTCGATGTGTCCCTTTCACATCGATGTTTCCCTCTCTCTCTCTTTCTCTCTCTCCCTCCCACTCTGTCTGTACAAAACATGGAAAAATGTCCTCGGATGAGGATTAAAAAAAAAAAAAAAAAGAGGAGCTGCCTGGGGCTCTAGGAGCCTCAGCCTCCCTGAGCCTCAGTTTCTGCTGGTTTTTGCCAGCCAGAAGTTATGGGTGCTCCTCTTCCTGGCACTGGAACCCTGAGTGGGGCACCTGGTGTGGGACGGGGACCCCTCAGTCCTCAGGTAGGACCTTCCCAGCCGAGGTATCCTCCTGATTTTTATCCACCACAAGTGGGTGTGGGACCAGCTCATCAGCCTCCGCCCCTCCTACCAATCTCGGTGTGGCTGCTGCTTTAATTCCGTAGTTGTAGGACTTCGATTCAGCTTGATTTCAGGCAGTTTTGATGGTTGTGTTGTAGTTTAGTTGTAATTTTTCTGTGGTTGTAGGAGGAGGCGATACTACTGCATTTACCTACACTGCTATCTTGACTGAAAGTCTTGACTGTCTTTTTAAATATCTTCCATTTCTCTCCTCGTCATACTCATGCTTTCCTCTGACTCCTTGAACATAATGGATATATTTATAATAGCTGTTTTAAGCTCTTTGTCTGCTAATTTTATTATCTATGTCTTTCTGAGTCTGTTGCTATAGATTTTTCTCCTCATTTTGGATCTTGTGTTCCTGCTTCTTTGTATGCCTGGCAATTTATTTTTCAATTACATTTTTCAATAAGAGTTTACATTCAATATTCTCTTGTGTTAGTGGTAGTTTTTCATTTATTGTCAAACATTGTAAGTTTAGCATTTTGGATGATACTGGATATGTTTGTAATGCTTTCGATATTTGGGGGTTTTGTAATAGGATGCAGTTCAATTACTTGGAAACAGTTTAATGCTTTAGAGGCTTGCTCTCCAGCGTGGTTTGGTGAGTGCAGAACAGCCTTCAGTCTAAGGCTAATTTGACCCTACTATTGAGGCAATACTCTTTTTTTTTTTTTAATCTTTATTGTTGAATGTAGAATGTATTACAAATGTTCCACATTTTTCCCCCATTGACCCCCTCCTCCCCACTCCCGCCCCCCTCCCGCCTTTTCCCACACTGTTGTCTGTGTCCATTGGTTATGCATATAAGTTCTTTGGTTTATTTCTTCCCACCCCCCCAACCCCTTTCTCTTTGAGGTTTGTCAGTCTAGCAATGAATTTTTACTTCTTAATCTCTTCACCTTTTTCATCCATTCCCCCAATCCCCCTCCCATCTGGTAACCAACAAAATGTTGTCTGTATCTATGAGAATGTTTCTGTTCTACCTGCTCATTTTGTTTGTAGATTCCATTGTTGATAGATATGTATTCATTGCCATTTTGTTTGTTCATGTATTTTATCTTTTTCTTCAAAAAGACCCTTCATCATTTCATAAAATAACGGTTTGGTGGTGATGAACTCCTTTAACTTTTTTTTTGTCTGGGAAAGTCTTTCTATGGCCATCGATTCTAAATGACAGCTTTGCAGGACAGAGTAATGTTGGTTGTAGGTTCTTGCTTTTCATCACTCTGAATATTTCTTGCCACTCCCTTCTGGCCTGCAAAGTTTCTTTTGAGAAATCAGCTGACAGCCTAATGGGAACTCCCTTTTAGATAACTAGCTGCCTTTCTCTTGCTGCTTTTAAGATTCTCTCTGTCTTGAACCTTTTGCATTTTGATGATGATGTGTCTTGGTGTGGGCCTCTTGGGGTTCATCTTGTTTGGGACTCTCTGTGCTTCCTGGACTTGTATGTCTGCTTCCTTCACCAAGTTAGGAAAGTTTTCTGCCATTATTGTTTCAAACAGGTTTTCGACTTCTTGTTCTCTCTCTTCTCCTTCCGGCACCCCCAAGATGTGAATGTTGACATGCTTGAAGTTGTCCCAGAGGCTCCTTACACTATCCTCATTTTTTTGGATTCCTTTTTCTTTTTGCTGTTCTGATTGGGCATTTTTTGCTTCCTTATATTCCAAATCGATGGTTTGCTTCTTGGCTTTACCTTCTCTACTATTGAATCTTTGTAAATTATTCTTTATTTCAGTTAAAGCCTCCTTCATTTCTAACTGTGCATCGATCATTTCTGACATGTCCTTTTTTATGCTCTTGAGGCCCTCACTGAGTTCATTGAGCATCCTTATAAGCAGTACTTTGAACTCAGCATCTGTTAGGTTACGTATCTCCATTTTGCTTAGTTCTTTTATTGGGGTTTGTTCTGTTCTTTCATTTGGGACCTGTTTCTTTGTCTCCTCATTTTGGCTGCCTCCCTGTGTTTGTTTCTGCGTATTACTTAACGAGAGGTATGGGGTTAGCTGAGACCAGATGCTGCTCGTTTGAAAGAATTTAGGAAAAACCTGAAGCAGGATCCAAGACAGGCCAATCCTCTAGTTAACCAACTGGCAACAGCTTGGGTGGGCCTGAAAGTTGGGTGGGGTGGGCCTGAAAGTTGGGTGGGGTGGGGCGGGGCCTCAGGGAGTCACCAGGGTGGGGCTACCAGCGTGAGCCAGGTTGCTGGAGTCCCAGATATGGAGACTGTCTGCCGCCCCAGGGAAGGGCTCACCAAAGGAACAAAGGCCTCTGACAGCACATTTGTCCAGGAGAAAGCCCCCTCTCCAGCCCTTGCTCCAGTGCCAAACAGCTCAGTTCTTTCCTGTATGTCTCTGGTGCTCCTCGAGCTGCCTCCTCTCCAAGCCTAGAGGGAGAGAGTCCGCTAAGTCCATGCGCGGGCCCTTTAAGGAGCTGCCTGGGCCTCCAGCCGCTTCATCCTCCCTGAGCCTTAGTTCCTGCTGGTTTTTCCAGCCAGAAGTTATGGGGATTCTCTTCCTGGCACTGGAACCCTGAGTCGGGCACCTGGTGTGGGACGGGGACCCCTCAGTCCTCAGGTAGGACCTTCCCAGCCGAGGTAGCTTCCTGATTTTTATCTGCCACATGTGGGTGTGGGACCAGCCTGACGCGCCACCGCCCCTCGCGCCACCGCCCCTCGCACCTCCGCCCCTCCTACCAGTCTCGATGCAGCTTCTTTAAGGTAGTTGTAGGACTTCCATTCAGCTTGATTTCAGGCGGTTCTGAATGATGGTTGTTCTGTGGTTTAGTTGTAACTTGGATGTGGTTGTGGGAGGACGCGATACTGCGTTCACGTACCCGCCATCTTGACCGGAAGTCCCGAGGCAATACTCTTCGGAAGGCTCGCTACTGTTCCTTACGTGTTACGAAGTCTTTTTTCTCTGGCTAGTAGGAATATAAATGATTCCTAGCCCTTTGAGTTCTTCAAAGATTGCTCTACTGGCTCCTTTCCCATGGCTGCTGCTTCTCTCTTGGTAGAGTCCTCAAACCAATGCACTGATTATTATTCAGCTGAAGACGTAAGGTGGCCCCTGTGGATATTGGAGCTCTCTTGTTTCTGCTTTCTTCTCTCCAGTGTTCTTCCCCATGGAGTTTAGCTGCCTGGAGACTGTACTCTGAACGCTGTCTCCTCAACTCAGAAAGATCACCAGCCTCTGCTGGGCTCCCCTTCCCTGTGCAGTGGCGTAGAAGCTGGGGCATTCATCAGGCTCATCTTGTTGGGGTTCCCCCTTTTTTCAGAGATCTCTGTCCTGCACAGCCTCTTTTCCAGTGTCTGGAAGTTAGTTTCAAAGACTTTGAGCAGTTTTTCAGTTGTTTAAGGAGGGAGGGTAAATGTGGCCCGTTACTCTATCGGGACCCTCAGCGGGAGTTTAGTGCTTCAACTTTAGACCTTTCGGTTTAATCAGAAGTTATGCTCCTGAAAACTAAGCTAGTGCTGAGAACAGAGCATGGCACATAGTAGACATTCAATAAATATTTTGGAACGAATGAAATTCTGTTTTCTCTCAATATTGCCGTCAATAAACATTTTCCTTTTAATTCTAATCATGTCCCCGATATGCCAAGAATGTTATCAATTCCCTCCTTCAAGATATTGACTGTTCTCGTCTGTATCCATCTTGGTGTGGTTAACATTCATCTATATCATTTCTAAAATATTTTTGTAAGGGGAGATCCTAAGAGAAGACCTGCATAAACTGAAGTTGCCTCTAGTTGACTTAATCTACTGATAACTTCATGAGCTAAATCTCTAATCAGTTCTATACCCATCAAACAGTGATCTAATCCAGTAACCTAACTTTTCCTTGGATGAAATGCTTTATATGCCTCATCAGCCAAAATAATCAAATGTGGACCTGGTCTAGCTCTATAATTTATAGTTTGAAGACTAGAAAGAATAGGACATTGCTAGTACTGAGATTAATTTCGTCACTTCCAGGCTACCACACTAAATGCTAAAACATGTCTTGAGTGAAATCATGTTCTAAAACAGATCTCCTTTTAGAAGGATAAAGCAGCCCTGGCCGGTTTGGCTCAGCGGTTGGAGCATCGACCTGCAGTACAGAGAGACCCGGGTTCGGTTCCCGCTAAGGGCACGTACCTCGGTTGCAGTTTGTCCCCGGCCCTGGTTGGTCGTGCGGGTGTCCCTTCACATCGATGTTTCTCTCTCTCTCTCTCTTCCTCTCTCTCCCTCCCGCTCTATCTAAACAAAAAAAGAAAATGGAAAACGTCCTCGGGTGAGGATAAAAAAAAATAAATAAAAAAAAAGAAGGATAAAGTAAATACATCTCAAAGTTAGTGACTGGATTAGCCCATAGTGGGCATTTGCCGCCCCCCCCCCGCCCCCCTTCCCTGCACCTGCTGTTCCGTCCTATTAGCACGTTTGCCTTTAGAAACACGGAATGGCATTGTGGGTTTGGCAACACATAAACTAAGATTGGAACAATACAGAGAAGGTTGGCATGGCCCCTGAACGAGATTGACTTGCAAATTTGTGGGTTGCTCCGTATTTTGTGCAGTGCCCTGGTGGGTGTCCTCACACCCTATGATCAGCTTGGGAAAAATATGAGTCAAGCACAGTGTGTGTGACTCAATAGCAAAATCGGGACTTTTCACTGTAAAAATATCCATGTGAGGCAATCTGTGCAATAAAAATGAGGCTGAGTTATACCTGGGGTGTTTGTGCTAACATGTTAACTTGCACTTTCTTCATAAGCCTTAAATTTTCTGAAATTGACTTTCAAAAAAAATTTAATGACAAGAGTGAAAGTACCTATGTCAGCACTAAGCAGCAAAAGAAAAAAGCTCCCTTCCCACCCCCCTCCACTTTTTACAAATAAGATGTGGAATTAAAGGAAACACATTATTTTTTTTTTTTCTTTATTGATTTTGGAGAGAGAGGAAGGGAGATGGGGAGAGAGAGAGAAACATCAATGAGAGAGAAAATCAATTGGCTGCCTCCTGCATGTCCCCCTCTGGGGATTTGGCTGACAAGCTGGGCATGTGCCCTGCCTGGGAATCGAACCGGCAACTTCTTGGGGACATGGGTTGACACTCAACCACTGAGCCACACCGGCCAGTCAATGGTAACACATTTCAAAGCAAAAATGATTTTAGATAACATATTCTCCCCATTTTAAAGTGGAATGTGATGTAGGGGAAGGGTGCCACCTGCTAAGCCACAGCGTAAGCGGCTTATTACTACTGCTTTTCCCCACTTGTTGCCCTAATTCTACATCTATTTCTCACTTTGGAATAATGAGTCTGATTCCTACGTCCTAGAAGAAGTTGCATCACTTAAGCAACATTGCTGACAGTTCCCAGATTGCTAGGGCTTATTACTAGCAAGATAGATAACGTCTGGGAGAATGGTATGTTTGAAAAGTTTGGGAGAATATTGCTTTTCAGATTTTGATGAAAAAGATTAATGGGTCTGCCTATTTGGGCTCACTATGGAGTCAAGGTGAAGACACAAAATCCATGTTCTGATTTTTCTGGGACATAATATGTTAATACATGAACCTTTTCTTCTAGATGAGATACTCAAGCCACAGTGTGTTTCTCATAAACACTGGCCTCATACTGTCCATACATTCCTAGAAGGTGCGTAACTTTCTTCCACCTTCTCCCTTCAGACCATTGGAACTGAACGGGAAAGGGAGGGATCTCTTAGAGTTTCTTGCCTCGGAGTAGAAGTTACTTGTTTTAAACTTTATGGAATACACTGCCCAAACAGGAAAATAAACCAATGATAGTTTTTGCAAAACACGACTCTGTAAAGTTAATCCATTAAACAGAAATGTAGTTTGATTTTACGGATAAAGACATGCTGAAACATTTCGACCACAGACCTTCCGAGGCACAGAAGGGGATGTGACACGGGGACGAGGGGGGTGGGGCTGAGTTTGATTTATTTCTCCCTCCTCTCATTTATACTAATAATTTCAGAGCAGAGTGTTTCAATGTTGGCTGTAACTGTTAGGCCAAGAGATTTGAGTTGACAGAAGGTTGCAACATTCAGTACGCAGGAAAAATGGGACAAATGAAAGTCAAAATAAGTTTCTCCTCCTGGAGCTATTAGACAAGTGGGAACAGCTTGTTCACTAATTGCACAGATGAAGTCATTGCTGTGTACGACTATTAAAGACTTGACATGAGAAGCTTTCAGTCCCGTCTTGCTCTGCTATATGAGGGCTGGTGACAGGTATCTAAGAACTGCCTGTTCTGTCCTGCGGGTTCCCTGTCTGCCGTACTCTCAGGCTGTCTCTCGACACAGTTCCACCGCTGCTAGCTGTCTTGAAACCCCGCAGACCCTCGTGTGGCAGGCAGGGCTCAGGTTGTAACTCTTCCCTGGGGAATTCAGAGTCATCATGTAACTCTGGGGGGAAAAAAAATTTTTTTTTTCTGACTTATACTTCCAAGACAATAAAAAGTTTTTGCTTAAAAAGAGAGAGAGAAACCATTTTTATTTAAAACAAACTTACTCGCTTCCAAAGAGTCTTGCAAAACATAGTAAAATACACGATGTCTCAGATCCTTCCTTAAGTTTATTTTCTGTTTTTAAAATCCTTACCTGAGGATATTTTTCCCATTTATTTTCAGATAGAGTTGGGAGGGAGGGAGGGAGGGAGGGAGGGAAGGAGGGAGAGAGAGAGAGAGCGATAAAGAAACATCACTAGTTCGCCTCCCGCACGACCCAAACCAGGGCTGGGGACCAACTGCAACCAAGGTACGTGCCCTTGACTGGAATCGAACTGGTGACCCTTCAGTCCATGGGTGGACACTCTAACTGCTGAGCCAAACCGGCCAGGGCCTTAAGTTTATTTTCATTATGCAATCAGTTCTATTTGGAGGTGAATCCTTGGAACTCTTTCACATTCTGTTAAAAACTATCACACACCAAATTTGTAGAAACATGGGAAGTTGTTGGTATGAAGCGGGAAGGTTCTGCAAAATTAGGCCTAATTAAGCTAAAGGTCAGTATTAGGGTCAAATGGCACAATTTCCACGAGCCCACAAGAAAGAAAGAAAAAAAAGGAAGCCCTGGAGGTGAATCCAGGAATGTCCTTTGTGAACAGTTACTTGCTGTTCACCGATGTGAAAGCAGAATGATCGCTTCAAGTACTCTGGTTTTTGAGAATTTGCCATTGTTAATTGATGTTCTAATAGAGATATTGGCTCCAAGCTCTTTGCAGGAGAGGAGTATTTTGCAATAACCTCTTCTTTAGAGAGGCTGAGTTTATTTAAACATGTCAGACTACCACTTGCCCTGATATGAAAGTGATTAATATGAACCTTTTGGCCTCTCATCATTGTCTTTCAATGGCTACAAATAATGAACCCTTTCAAATCTTTCATTTAAATAATGTCTATAATATTCCAACTGTACAGAACAAGACTGCAGTTGCACGAATCTCCATGAAAATATCAAAATGCACATAAACAGTTCTGGACAGTAGACAAGAATGCATTAACTTGTTTACTGCACTTTGAATTTATTCTTAGGGCACCGTGTCGGCAACTTCCCTACAAGGAAAACGGCAAAATCAGAGGGGATAGAACACTTTTATTTTTGCAGCGGAGAACAACACTCAACTTTTCATAGTCGTTCTGTCCAACAGAATAATTAAGCTACATACATTATTTTCAATGTTCCAGTAGCCAAATTTGAAAAGTGAATGTATTTTCATAGCATTTCATTTAATCCAATAAACCTGAAATGTTATCATTTTAATATATAACCAACACAAAGAGTATTAATGAAATATTTTACATTCTTTTTCTTGCTACAGCTTTGAAAGCTTGTGTGCATTTTGTACTCATGGCAAATCTGAATTTGGACTGGTCACATTTCACATGCTCAATTGTCATGTGGCTTCTGTCTACTGTGGCAGATAGAGCCATCTTATAGGGCAGTACATATGCACTGTATTAAAAAAAGAAGAAATACAGTCTCTTCAGTGGAGGAGTCTTACAACTTTCCCTTGGACTTTATAGAAGCGCCCCGTGTTCCCCAGAACCTGCCTTATTCCCTCCGGAGTGATTATGCCTCCGGGTGCTCCGCATGCTGCAAGGAAGCAGGTCCACCAGACCCTGGTGTTCTGTTTTTCTGTGTCCACTGTACTGACCCTGAGCCCGAGCCAAAGATGAATCTTGACTTCTGACTATGGTATTAATATTCTAGAACCTTTTACACCCAGGCCCTCCCGCCCGGCAATCTATTGCTAAAGCTGATTTGAATCCAAGAAGAGATGCATCCAATTCCAATGGGCCAAAAGCTATGCCAACCTGAACAGCCTATCGACATTCAGTGCCTGGTGTAGGCTAAGCACCGCCTCAGCTCATAACCTCATTTGCTCAGGTCCCCATTTGCTCTCAGCAGCCTCCAGTAGCATCCTCGTCTCTGCCTCTATTCCCATTTCCAAGTGATCCTCCATAGATCCACCAGAGACTTTGCTGCAACACATCTGAATGTTCTGCTTTCCCAGTGGATTTCTGAGGCGGCACCCAGTGCTAGTCAAGTGCAAACTCTTTAGTGTTGCAAACGAGGTCCATCCCCCCTGGTCCCAACCCATCTTCCAAATTACACCTCCGTCTGGTCCCCTAATTGCAAGATCCCTTCCTCATACTCTTTCCACAATGCTCCAGCCATGTGGCTTCTTGTCACATCATTCTTTCATGCCAGGTTTCTATACACAGTTTCCTCTTCCTACGATATACCTTTTGCTCGTTTCCAAGCCAAAATTGTACTCATTCGTTCTGTGAAACCCAAACTATCATCCTGGCTTCCCTCCTCATGCTGCGGGGGAACAGCCTGCGAGAAAACAACTCTGCTTCTGGTGGTGGAAGCTGAGATCCAGCTTTTGTTTGGGGGAAGTTTTCTTGCTCACTCGCTGCCCCATTTTAGAGAGGACCATGAACCACTCCAATAAACTGCTCAACCCTCACGTAGCTTAGTACTCGTCTCCAGACTACTCTCTCGGGGAAGAAAAGCAAAAGTCTTTTTTTGTTTAAAGTTGCCCTTGAAAGCTATTTAAAAAGAAGACTGAACAATATTTAACATAGTCATGTAAAGAAAGGACTAAAGATAAGACGTGGACCCTTTGATTCTTTTTTGTCGGCTGAGTCCACTCACTTTGTATCTGTTTATCCCTTTTGGTGTTTTTCAGGGCAGTTTCTTAGTTATGCTGTTTATATCAGAGCTATCAACAGTTCACTGTCACACCTTAGCATACCCCAAGTCAAGCACACCACCGTCTCTTTCAACCTGTTCTTCTGAATTCTGAGTTCTGCAAAGGTCGTCGCTTGGAGTTATCGGCAACATGTTCTTCTCGGTCACTCCTGGCAACAAATCAGTTGCCAAATCCCCTAATTCTACCTTTGCAGCATCTCTGCGCTCATTCCCCCATTGCTACCCCCACTGCCGACATCCTGGTTCAGGCCCATGTTGCCTCCCACCCATACAACCGGAATCACCCCCACCCCTATTTCCCTTCAACTTCCAACATCTACCA